TTTTTCCTAATATCTTTGTCATTCTAAAGAATAACTCCCTGATATTTTACACATTTGTACATCATTCAATTTCCTACCAACCTACCATATTTCATGACCATCGGACTGATAGTCACAATTTAATTTCATTTTAAGCAACATACCCCAGATGGCCACTTTCGGGCTGTCTGAGCTGGTCTGTTATCCAAATAAACTCTATTTCCAACTTAATGCACTGGTAAACTCTAAAGATTATGTATTCTTGGGAGCCAAGCACTTTATGAAGTAGTGGAGAGGCACCTTCACACAGACAGATGCACAGTTTAGTGTGTTCTCAGAAGCTCGAAGATAGGGTCCTTTTACCGTTGATGATGCTAACAGATATGCAATAACTGTCAACATCAAACTCTATTTTGTGATTCCCATGGAGTTCTTGGGGACTTAAGGTGACCCCAGAGGGATTGAAAGGCAGCAACAGTGATTCCAACAAGACAGAACCATACCCCATACACCAAATGATGCACAATAATGGCTTGGGGACCACTTCAATGACCACATTATCAGCAGTACAACAGATAATGAATGGGCACCCCTTAGCCCAGATATGGCCCCATTTAATCTTTACCAGTGGGAACACCCTAACTATAGAGTGTAGGGTAAAAACACCAGAAAGACATTTGACCTCAATATAAAGATCACATGAGGAATGCTGTTATGTCATTTACAGGTTTGGAAAACGCGTGCAGGTTAGCCTACAGCACGATATTGGAAAACTGGGGCACCTTGTTGAAAGTGCTGTAACATTGCAACTGTCTGTCCAATGTTCATGAAATAACACAGTCTAGTATGAAATTGAATGATGTACATGTGTGCTAAATATCAGGGCAAAATTTCCCAAAATAATGACAAAGATATGCGGAAAAATTAGGGTTGCCGTTTTTTTTGACCACCCTGTACAAGTAGAAATTTTTCTTTACCAGTGTCTAATTCATTTTATGTTAAGTTGTTTCCATAATATCATCAACGATATGTCCTATTTTCACTTTCTTCGAATAACTTAATAAAATGACCATTCGATAATAATAAAAACTGGCAGATGTAAATTCTGAAAAGCGTACCAACACACTCAGATACTACTCTTGCTCAAAGACTGTATCCACCCCCCCCCCGTCACCTTCACTCTCTTTACCTGGCAATATACAGTATACTCCTAGAGAGAAGGATAAAGGGGGGGGGGAGTACAGGGTCTTTTAAGCAAGACTACTCAGATACCATCAATAATTGAAAACAGTAGATGGGTCAGCCAATCCTTTATGAAAGTACAATTGCAAAAGGGGAAGGAGAGGTATTTAAAATAAGAGCTTTGGTAAAATGAGATAAGTGTGACGTAACATGTATGAGGATTGGGTATGTTTTTAGGGGTAGATATACCTTGGTACAGTTATGTCCTGCCTATAGCTATCATTGTGATGCATGCACGGTATTTATACCTTTTAGAACTTTAATTTAAAAAAGTTATCATGTTTGTTTGTACATGTTGTTGCATCAGAATTCAATTAGAAAAATAATTCAATTAGCTGTTTAAACGATACAAATGGAGCAGACATTTGAAAAGTCATGTCTGATAGGAAATACTTTCTTTTTGTAATATGAATCTCAATGGTAAACTTTAATTCAGTTATAAGAAGAAAGGAAAATGATTAGAAAAGTAACATTTCCAGAGAATGACAATTTATCATATAAACACAGATGTTTTCTTAAATAACCTCACAATCTCACAATAATATTTTCAATTAGAAAAGAGTAATGTATTCCTATTAATATTGATTTTTAGTTATACATCCATAATCATTGCAAATACGACTTTCTTAACATAGGGTATATATGGTTTAATATACTTCATGTTTTGTGGCATATAAAACAATTTATAGCTTTATATTCAAGGTTTGGGTTATAAAGATAAGGTACCACGTCCCTCAAAATTTAAAGATAATAAAGAGTCCTCAAATAAGGCACCCCTTGCATTCGTTCAACTTCACTTTTTAAAAGAGAGCTTCGTCTTCGGTAGTTTATAACTAGACTGTGCGCGAAGGGTACAAATATGGCTTCTCAAAAAAGTGGTATTTTGTTTTATTTTACAGACCCCTCCTCCCGACCTCCAAACAAAGAGGATCGTGACTTGTGACAAGTCAGAATAATTGTAGGAACAAGTGAACGTTTGCTGCTTAAGGTGCAGTGGTACTTAACAGGAAATGACAAAACAGGAAGTGACAAAGAATGTGGCATTTAGACATTTTTTGAACAAAGATAACAGAGTTCTGTTTTGACCTCCAGTCAATTCAAATAGTTCCACATATCATTTACTGATTAAGAAAATGGTCATAAATAAAATAATCAACTGTTGCTAAATGCAAACTGATACATACAGATTCAGGTGAGAAATCATCAAATGACAAGAATTTTGGCGTTTTTTAGAGAGGCAAATCACGTATCAATGACTTCAGGAATGGTGTCCAAATGTAGTGGAATAGCAAAGTTAATTTCATGGTTATTCATTTGTTGAAACACTATGGCGGATCCGGGGGGGGGGAGGAATGGGGCCCGCCCCCCCCCCCCCCCCCTAAGGTTGGCCCAGAAAAAAAAAGTTGGGCCCAAAAAGATTTTAGGCCAAAAAAGGCCTTTTGTGGGCCTTTTGGTCATTATTGGGCCTTCTAAGGCCTCATTTTTAAATTTTAGGCCAAATTTTGAAGAAAATGGGCCTCAAATTTTCAAAATTTGGGCCCACTTTTCGGTTTTAGGGGCCCAAAGATTTTTTCTATGACCTCAAATTTGGGCACCCCCCCTGTTGGTTCCTGGATCCGCCACTGAAACACTTGATTTTTTTTTTGAAAAATTCAAATGAAACATATATCAACACTTAAATTTTGATATATGAAGGGAGGAAAAGGGGTTAAACCATGATCAATTTAACTTCATTTTTTCCATAACTGCTGATATTTGGAGTTGATCCCTTCAGCCTAGGAGCCTTCCACTAATATACAGTTAATCGTCAGTTGGAAAAACCATTATGTCAGAATCAAATAAACGCCATGGGCAAAACACACAAACACATATATTTAATATATAAAATTGTGTTGAATTATTAATTTTCATTATTATTCATTATTATGTACAGTGTGATAGTATTTAGTTATTTTACATTACACAACTACATATAACTCATTGTACTAGTCCACAAATACAGTACAGTACAATACAATACAGTGCCGTACAGTGCAGTTAAGCACAGTACAGTACAGCAAAGTACAGTACAGTACAATACAGTGCAGTTAAGCACAGTACAGTACAGCAAAGTACAGTACAATACAGTGCCGTACAGTGCAGTTAAGCACAGTACAGTACAGTAAAGTACAATATAGTACAGTACAGTGCAGTGCAGTACAATACAGCCCTATAGACGCATTTACCAGTAATTATAAGTAATATTTACCATGTGATTTCTGCATAAGGACTCAACAGTATAGAGAGGCAAGCACAAGAATTGCAGTTGATATTCCATAATTACTATAGATAGTTCAGATACATTTCCTCCAGTGTATAAATACTACAAATTGGTTTGCTCTATTTGATCAATGACTCCCGACCAAGCAAAGGCAAACAAAACATGTCATTATACAATAAAATATAATTGAAACATTAAATTGCAGTACAAAATCCAATAAAAATCTCATGCAGACGTGATTTCCTAACAGAATAGAAACAGAAAAGGAATCAGAAAGGAGTACAAATTACATTGTAAACTCAAATATTCTACATATTAAATTAAATAGTATAATAATTATCAGAAAACAAAGCACTTTACTTTAATATCAACAACATGACAATTGATATATGACCACATTTATATCACCCTGATTATATATAACATAACTACAGTTAGTGGCATGCCCATAGATACATTACTGTAATTACATAAATTGATCTAGAAATATGTTCACCAGAGAGATGCTTTACTGAAAAATTGTTTACTAGTAAGGTATTCAGTGGGGAGGTGCTCACTGAAAAAGTGTTCACTAGGAAAGTGTTTTCTATAAAGGTGTTCACTGGGGAAGTATTTCATATCAAGGTGTTCCCTAGGGAAGTGTTCACTAGGGAAGTGTTGTCTATAGAGATGTTCAGAAAGGAAGTGTTTCCTATCAAGGTGTTCACTTGGGAAGTGTTGTCTATAGAGGTGTTCACTGGGGAAGTGTTTCCTATCAAGGTGTTCACTTGGGAAGTGTTGTCTAAAGAGGTGTTCAGAAGGAAAGTGTTTTCTATAAAGGTGTTCAGAAGGGAAATGTTTTCTATAAAGGTGTTCACTAGAAAAATGTTTTCTATGGAGGTGTTCACTAGAGAAGTGTTTTCTATAGAGGTGTTCAGAAGGGAAGTGTTTTCTCTCAAGGTGTTTACAAGAGAAGTGTAGAGGTGTTCAGAAGAGATGTGTTTTCTATAAAGGTGTTCACTAGAGAAGTGTTTTCTATCAAGATGTTCACTAAAGAGGTGTTTCCATTAAGGTGTTCACTAGGGAAGTGTTTTCTATAAATATATTCACTAGGGAAGTATTTTCTATAGAAGTGTTCAGGAGGGAAGAGTTTTCTGTCAAGGTGTTCACTAGAAAAGTATCCTCAAAAAATGTGTTCACTTAATCATTAGGTAGGTCTTCTAGAGAGGTGTTCTCTCATATCTTGAAACCCATAAGCTAGAAAAATACCACAAGGGAAGGAATCACATCAATAGCCTTGAACATTCTGTATTTATGAGACATAAATCAATACTTTAGCAAATAATACTATGTTATCATAACAATGTGCAGTCAGATTATCCCATATTTATCATATTGTCAATCAAAATAACAATGCACTCACATGTTTTTATCTGAACATAAATAAACATTATCATTGTAATATATCTGACATTTTATCCATTTCAAACCATATTTTAAATAACACAAAGAAACTTTTATAAATATATGCTTATGTTATATTGGTACATGGTGAATTGAAGATGCTATATATCTTTACACCCCATATGTAAGAATGAAGCTTATAAAGCTTTATGAAGGAGTAAAATCTCTATGTGGTGGGTCATGCTTTAAAATTGAAATTTTCATTTGGAGTGTCATGTCAATAATATATAAAGTATTTCATATCAAAATAATCTGGATAATAGATACAGCACCAAAACACACATATGTGTGGTAGACATAAAACATGATTTAAAACAATACATGTGAAATTCTTTAAATTTTCTGTCAACTCTCAATGAACTTTAAACTCTTGTATAAAGTATATCCATTTTCTGAATCTATAAGATATTTTTATTTCATCACAGACAAGTACTTTTTCCCTCATGTTCACTTTATCCCGCTCATTAGATATCAGAATTATTTTCTGGTTCTACCGAAAAGCGAAAGCACAGGATTAGTGAACGTTTTTGCAGTAACGAGATCTCAGTTGTACACTTCATGTAGATGTACAAGCGCCGGTGTCATCTATGTATCCCAAAAACTTGCTTGAAGTCTTAGCGTAGCTCAACTATTAAATAACTAGCTCAAAATGAGACGAAGCTACCATACACTAGTTACATATCAAACTGCACACCGATGACAACTGCACACCGATGACAACTGCACACCGATGACTCAACTTGAAGCACTATGTCCCAGGATTTAACTATGTAAATTTCTCTCACAGATAATAAGGAAATCACATGTTATAAGCTACATATATTGGATCCAAATGGTCAGCGAGGAAGCCATCTCGTAAATGCATGCGTTGCTTTTCACCACGGGAATTTATTGGTACGACCCCAGGGTCTACAACGACCACTACCCCAACAATGAGGTAATGATCTTCGAGTACAACGTTTGTTACTAGTGGCACCAAATCAAGAGCCTCATTTTCATTTCCATCCAGCTCCACCACAACGACCAGTAAATTTGTCCATGTGAACACAGCACTGAAAAATAAATTTTCATTTAGAACTACAAATAGAACAATAATGCAATCTATATATCAATATAAGTTAACTGTAAGGAACATGGAGTTAGTGGGCATGCAAAATCAATGCTGTCTTTTTATCAAAAAAAAATTTTTTTCATTTAGGGGCAGGAGTAAACAACTCCTGACATAAAGCAGATATGATATGGTATTTTTAACCTAAAGGAATCAATATAATTTTTTGATAGATGTATTTGGACATGTTTTCTAATCAGTAGTGTGAAAACTATTTCACTCTAACGATCGTTATAGCTGCTTAATAAGCAATATTCGAATTGGTTGTGACGTTATTGGCCCCCACGTGATCTCTCACTGGCCCCCACGTGGACCGTTTTGGTCCATTAGATCATGACGGCATAATGCCAAAATGTTTTGTTATTTGTTTACACAACAATCCTATGGTTGCCGTGACGTTGTGATTACTATGGAACCAATAAACCAAAGCTATAATTTGTATATGACGTTACTTATCACGTGGGGGCCAATTTGATTTATCAGTTAGTTTTATTTCGTTATCTATGACCGTTAGCAGTTATCTAACATTTATTTTATAATGGCTATCGCAAGAACTCTACGGTGGGCTTACAATAGAGAAAACCGCATTTTTGTAGCTGCAAGTTGAGAAAAGCTATTTCAGTTGTCCTTTAACACACACAACCATTCATTCTTGTGCGCATAAAACATTAATATTTAGATCCAACCCCTAAATGAAGCACTACAAGTCTATATTTTGCTATTTTCACTCAATGTGGACGAATATACAAATGACTCTGATAAAGTTTGTTAAAATAAAACGCTTTCACTTACGATTCACATATCTTTCTATGGCACCTGACAACACTGGTCTCTACATCAATAGGGTGGTATCTCATACCACGTAACATAACAGTTTCATCCAAAGCTCCTACCACATACAAGGCATCGTGTCTCTCTGCAAACATTCATTAATCAGTTCATTTTCATAAGTTTATTTGGTGAAATGAGTGGGATTACTAACAATTGATGGCAACCTTAAACTAGGTTTTGCATATGTTCAAAATGACTTCAGGTTTGTTTCATCAGTTTATGATTTTGACATTAGTCGGGCGCGGGATTACAGAAAAACATTCAACATCTGCAGAGAGAAGGAGGGGGACATCATGAGTGCGATGAAAAGAATACTTGGAGATTACCAACATACCTCCATCAGACTGTGTCATTTCAGTTCTCCGGACAAAGCCTAGGTACCCTGTACGTGCGTATGTGTTGCCTGTGTCTCCCATAGTCAATCGAGACTCAAAATGATCAGCGTGGATCGACTCCTCACCATATATGGTAAAATAACCGCTAGCGTTATGTGGACAGCTCACCCAGATTTCTCCAAGGTGAGAATCAGCACATTGACCTTTGGTCTCAGGGTTGGCTATGACCACTTTAACACCAGGCAGAAGCTAAAATGTAACACATCCATTTAGTCAGCAATTTGAAAAATGTTTCTTGAAAGTTTTCATTGCATATCTGTTGTGACAAAATATATTGATATAATATTGAGATGTAGAAACTAATATGTCTTTTCTTTATAGTATCTAAATAAGCATTTTAAAAATTTCTAGAAATATGTCACCATAGTATGGGGACAATAATATTGATAAGAACTGCATTGAGAAATGCAGCCTTTATCAACCTGGGTAAATAAAAATGTTAACAAAACTTGAGCATTGAATTTGATGAAAAACATTTGTTACCTTTCCAGACTCCAATATACATAAGCTGTGTGGACTCCCTTTCTCTACTAGAGTCACTCTGTCATTCCTTAGTGCTCTCATATCAACATAAACAGCAGTAGGGTCTGGGCATGATGCTCCCTGAAATCAAACATTCTCGATATAGTCAATGGTTACTACTGTACTGCAGAACAACAGGGGTTTCTATAGACTTTCAGACAATACGCATAATTATGTAATTTTGCCATGGAAACTTGCAAAATGAAATCAATGTTTCTCAATTTAAGTACAGGCTTGAAGAATGAATTTGTTAAAAATGCATTCTTGAAAATTTGGCAAACACAGAAAATACTTGATCTCTCAAAATGACCACTTGGTAGTAGGTGTATGTTATCACTATGATATAAGATGCAGAGAGTGTGACCAAACCATGAATAAGCTACACCCACATCAAACATTAAAATAGAAGATTCGGCTCACCTGAAGGCAGATGCCCACATTGACTCTGCAACCAAAACTTGTGCTAACTGAGCGAGGGAACAGGCCTAGACTTGAGAATAGCTTAGAGAAAGATGTAGTGAGTTGTATTCTGGGTCGTTCTTCTGCTATCACACACAATGTTCGCACACAGTTCAGGTTCACGCCTTTAGTCTGAAAAGTTGGCGAAAAAATGTTAAACAACATACATATTATCTTCAGTTCACACGAAAACATTGGTGTTCGCACACAGTTCAGGTTCATGCCTTTAGTCTGAAATGTTGGGGAAAAAATGTCAAATAACATTCATATTATCTCCAGTTCACACTAAAACATTAATGTCTGCCTCAATACAAAATTAATTCATTCGAGCCTCATATGACAGAACATCTAAATGAGCAATATACTGTGATTTGACACGTGATGACTGTCATGAGATATGAATAGTAATGTGATTTATACATAAGCAGTAATGTGTTATGTAAATAGTGATTGGTTTGACAAGTACGAATTCATGTATGTGTAATTTTACGATAAAGTTGTCTGTAGAGTTGCATAAATGTGGCTGACTTACCTTCAACATAGCAGTAGATGTCCCTAAGTCTGACTTACCTTCAACATAGCAGTAGATGTCCCTAAGCCTGACTTACCTTCAACATAGCAGTAGATGTCCCTAAGCCTGACTTACCTTCAACATAGCAGTAGATGTCCCTAAGCCTGACTTACCTTCAACATAGCAGTAGATGTCCCTAAGCCTTTAGAACACAGCTCCATGACACCATATGAACAGAATGTATCTCGCACTTTATATGCACTGACAGTGGAGAGCCACACTGCTGGGTTGATCTCCACTTCTGATGGCGCAATAAGTATGGAATGATGGCCTGAGTAAATGCTGGAATAAACAGTAATAAGTATGGAATGATGGCCTGAGTAAATGCTGGAAAATGGATAGAATCATGGCATGAGTAAATGCTGGAAAATGGGGAAATAAGTATGGAATGAGTGAATGCTCGTAAACTGGTTTTACAGATCAGCTACTATTTTCTTAAAACAAGTTCATCAATCAGTACCCTAAATCCCCATCAGACTGCTATTATGAAGGATATAAGTTTGCATATGTACCTGCTAAGGCACCAGAGTACAAAGCCAAGGCCACAATATGGGTCCAGACAGAGGGCAACATCTCTTGAGGGGTAGAGCTCACACTGCAACTTCTGAGACCTACATAGGGCACTTGATGACATATGTGACATCTATAAAAAAGAAATCATTTTAATTCTGTGAAATTTAGATTGGATTATTTGATATTTCACAGTAATGGTTCTTTCATCTATTGGAAAAAGCGCATGCCGTGGTATGCTATTGTTCAATAACATGTGTTTTGACGAGTTTATTGTCAGAGGACACCAGGAAAGGCCCATTCTATGAGTAAGTACACACGACATCAGATTGGTAAGAGTGACACAAAAAACTTACTTTTACACCTGCTAGCATGCCAGTGGTAGAGACACTGAAGTCAAGGTAGCAGATCATCTCTGGGGTTGGTGCCCTGTATATACTGGCCAGCTTCTTTTTGGGTTTATCATCAGCATCTAACAGGGTGGGCCAGCTACTTAGCTCTACTATGGCTGTCGCCTCCTGGAGAACATAAATCATAATATTAGGCAGTGATTATGACCTATAGTATTGGGAAAATGAACAAAATAAACTAAGAGATCTAAGACAAGTATTTAGGGCTGCCACCTTCATTTTTTATGAGATGCATGGAAGGAACTTATACATTTCTTGAGGGTGAATAGTAAATCCTATATGGCATATGATATATTATTTTATTGATGTTTGACCAATGTCAAAATATTTCTCTGACAAGGGCTGAAGCAAATGCTGAAATCTGATTGGTCAAACATCAATAATATATCATATGCCATATAGGATTTACTCGCGTCCATTTCTTGAGCTACAAATGATTGATTCCTGTGTTTAAAGACTGTGAGACATCAATTTCTTAATCATCAACAGTGTATAATAACTATACATACCTTTGACTTGATTAACTTGAGAACTGTTTGGTTTGACAAAATGGCCGCTGATTTACTAACATCGACAATCATTCGGACTGTTGGCAAAGTGGTTGATATATTCTGTGTATGGGGAGGTCGCACAGTCACTGGAACAGCACCTGAAAAATATTTTAAAAAATGCCTGTGACTCAAACAGATGCCAGGCCACAATTTGGTTGTTACTTACTTTCAGTTGAAATAAATAATGTGCAAATCAATTATGTATAGGATTTAACAACCATTTGTTACAGACAGCAAATGCCGAACACCTACTATGACTACCAACTACTGAATGCCGAACTCCATCCCAAAAAAATTTGGGAGACAATAACATTAATACGCCACCAGTTCTGATGATGACAAAACAATTGAAAATCATGACCCCTAATAGACCAACCTGCATATAAGCATCCATATGTGGCAGCTATCAGGTCAATGCCTGGTGGGAATATGAGAGCCACATGCTCTCCCGTGTTTAACCTCCCCTTCTCTAGTAATAATGCTGCTATACGCTCCGCTTTGCGGTGAAGTTGGCCACAGTTCAATGTGGCTTGCACTTGGCCCTGAAACAAACAACACAATAATACATTGGATTGGATTTAATGGGGGGGGGGGGGGTTAAGTAACTTTTATAAAAAGCAAGCATGGGATTTTTTCCATTTACTTTACCAAAATTGAATTTAGTTTTTAGGAATTTTTTCCCATGTTAAAAACCATGTATGATCTTGTTTCATTCATCATGAAAGCTGATATCATCTGGGTGATGGTATGTCCTGATTGGCTCAGAATTTCATTGGTTCATCAGTAATGTAAGAGTGTGAGACACTGATAACTACTCTTTCAAAGAGTAAGCTTTCATGTACATACCTTGGCATTTATCATTGAGTAGAGTTGGTGGTCTGGTGTTGTATGAGCTCTCCACTGTAATATCTCAGACAAAAATTGATACTGAAATAAAAAAAACAATATAAAGAGTCAAAACTATAAATCAAGTATGTTTTACTAAATGAGCCATCAACATGTAAAATGTCACCACCTACTATTTGTTACAGATGCCCAACACCAGCAGCCAAACACAAAAAGTAACAAGACTGTAACAATATGTCACAACTTCTGGAGGTAAGATAAAAACTACAAAATTATGCTTTTAATGAGAATTATGCCACAGTTATACTGGATATTATAATCATTATAATATTTGTAACATGCTACATAATGAGTGACAAACTGAGTCTTAACTAATCTTAATTGGGTGACAAATTGTTCACAAATCACATTTATTTGAAACTGAACTCTGCAGAGTATCTAAATGCTTACCTTTTTAGCCCCATCAGACTCATCACTTTGTCCAATTTCTCTCCCTGCGGCCTGAGCCAATCGGACACCCTGGACAATATTTCCCACATGTACTGCTGAGGGAGTCACATCTGGAAATATGCAATATTATGATACATATTTTTCCTGAGAAATGCCAAAATAGGATGCATAAGTTCCATACTGTGAGCAAATAACATCAAAACAATTGGAAAATGTTATGTTCAGGATAATTTCCTATTCTTGCTTGGAAAATTTCAATTTTATATTGTATGACATAGAAAACTGGCATATTTGCTTATACATGGTGTCAGATGTGGGATTCAAACCCATATAGACTTGAGAATATAATCTTACCTGGATGATGTTCTCTGGGTTTTGGCAAGTTGGCAACAACAGTGTGTGGACACATCAGGACATTAGCTGGGTGGAGTGTCCCTTCTAAATACTTCTTTCGAATCTCTGTTAGATGAATACCACCTAATGGAGTCTACAAGCAGAAAATATAGGGTGTCCAAAAATTCAAGTAACCAATGATTTGTATTATTTTCTATGGATATAGCACTTGGATACAACCCACTTGAGTCAACAAGCAGAAAGTGCAGAGCGTCCAAAAATTGAAGTAACCAATGCTTTAAAAGAGATCAACTGCATCAGATATGATTTTCAATGGATGTAGCAGTTATGATGTAATCTACCCATGCGAGCCTTGGAAATCTAATCTTCAACTACAATTTGTAATAACCAGATATACAAGCAGAAAATATGTGACGTTTCTAAAATTCAAGTAGCCAATGCTTTTGAAATGAAATTTTTATAGTGTAATAACAAGAAAGTGTACCTTAGGAAGATAGTTGGGAGGCACAAGAGCCAGACAGTAGACCCCAGTTTGGTGTATGCTGTCTACAGCTTGAAGCACCCTACTCATCCACTGAAAACTCTCTTCCTCTGTACACTCAGGCCTTTGTTCAGCTATTATCACTATCCTTTCATCCTTTAACACTTTTATAGAAAATACTGCAATTCTGGAAGAGAATGAAAGAATATTAAGACATGTTTTGGAATTCTTTTTTTCTTCAGAGGATTTAGGTTGGGTTGGTTCTAGTCTTTTTATTTATTGCCACTTATCCTGAACCTCAGATTTCTGCCCCAGTTTAATCAAATTCAACACCAAATGTGTTATAGGTTCATAAATCAAAATTATTATTTTACTTCCATAATTCTTTCACATGGTTTTATATAACTTAGATATACATGCAACATACAAATAACCAACATAACTGAACATTGAATTATTCTCCAACAGAAAATGTTAAATCCTCAATTCATGTAATACTCCAAAATTAAGGTAGGCCTATTGCAATGGCTCATGAAAATCTCCATGCAAAAGGTCCAAATAAATGAGCCACTTTCCACATACAAGGCCTACCTTAAATAAAACATGAAATAACATGTAACATATCAACAAAACAGGCTCCAATATGTTCACATACAAAAAACCATTGATTATGTTGATCACTGTATATGGGCTTAAACCCAAGGATAAGAGATATCTTGGATGGAGGAAGAACTCTTCTAAATACAATAAAGACCTAAAAACAAAATCATTACAGAGGCCATTTGAAGCTGAATAGAAAATATGTTCAACATAATTTTCCCCAGATACAACAAGTTTAATCATACAATCAATGGTGTTGTTTAACTCTATTCATCTTAAGATTCTGTCACAGAGAAGGATAAAAGTAAAAAAATTAAGTACATGTAAATGATAATTTGAGATTTTGAATAATACACTTTTCAAATCAAAAAATGTTAACTTTCACTAACCTTCCTCGATAAATGAATTTCATTGGTTCTACTGCTAAGACTGTTGCTATGATGTCATCTGTATTGTGACGCCTACCGGAGACTGTCATTAATCCTTCTCGACTTCCACAGACAAATATTAAGCCACCCTAATAAAATGAACAAAACAAGATAATGGATTTTCATGCAATAACTATTTACCGAACCATGACATATTTATTACTTTTAAGAACTAAGAGATACAATAAAAATTCATATATAATGAGATGTACACTTACAGGGCCCAAAAATCCTAAAAGTCCTGTCCTCACATACGTTTTTTCTCCTAGAGGCTTACCATCACTACCTAATGGTTGAATCTGGAAAGAATTAAAAATAATATTACAATGTATAATAAAATAATCTATTCTTCTAATTTGATGTAATTAGCCCTGAATATCTATCTCAAGATTGATAGTCAGTTAATGTATGTTCACATTTTCATGCATTTCAAAATGTCAGATGATGAAAGTGGACCTAAGTAAGTATGGGATACAGCTTTTATGTAAAATTTGTTTCAGATACAGGGTTATCTCTCTGGAGACATCACATATTTCCCTCGAGATAAACCCAGTACCTTAACCCTTTCAGTACATAACCCTTAAATAATGCTTACTTTAAATACAGTGTTTGTGATGCCTTGTAAGCCCCAATAACCAGAACCAGTGCTGCCTGAAGAGATGGCCAGCTCTCCCACCTCATCAGTCTTACACAACATGGGATCTCCATCTATTTTGATCACCACCATTTCAGCTGAAACAACATACATATGAGTTAATGTCAACAGTGCAATATGACACACTCCTTGCCCCCAAATCAAAGTAAATGGACATTTATTTTAAATTTAGCCTATTCCTTTTAAAAATTGGTGTGCAATGGCAGTTAACATTAAACCAATCAATGGCTACAACACGAGGAACATACATGGGCAAAATATGTGATACACCTCCCAGGGTTAAATTAACAAAACATCCTCTGCAATTTGAATTCATAGTACTTGATGGCAGAACTCACCTCCAGGCATGACTTGGCCACAATCCTGTAACGTCAATGATGTAAGGCTGTTTTCTGAGTCTACTCTGACGACACCATGACTGAGGCCTTGCATAGAGAGAACACCCCGCCCTGTAGCACTACTACTGCTTCGGCCCGGTCTGGTGAATAATAGTGAACATATAGATGTTTATTAAGAAGTGTTAGATATGATAAACAGTGCTTGATTAAATCAATATACATGCACAACAAAGTTCAGAACTAAGTAAAACATATTCAGATCTTGGCACTGGTCTGCTTCTGTAAAAAGTTGAACAGGTAAGCAGTTTTCCTGGAATTTTGATGACAAGATTTATGTGGTGCCCACCTACCCAGATGCAGAAGATGACAACAATAAAGTCTGCCCACCCAGCTGCAGAAAACAACAATGATATAGCACTTGGAAAAAGTATGATAACAATCTGGGCACAAATAGCACTTGGAAAAAGTATGATAACAATCTGGGCACAAGTAGCACTTGGAAAAAGTATGATAACAATCTGGGCACAAATAGCACTTGGAAAAAGTATGATAACAATCTGGGCACAAATAGCACTTGGAAAAAGTATGATAACAATCTGGGCACCAATTGCAATTGATGATAAATTAAATCTTAAAAATAGTTCAGATTTAACATCTGATATTTACTTCAGTTTAAATCAATACATGTATTCGTAAAATTGACACTGACCTGCGTACTGAGACAGTGAGTGTCTCTGGACAACTGGCACAGGGACACACAGACTCAGGCTTTAAACCTTTCTGTTGAAATACAGTCAGAAATGAATCACATGATGTAAGAGACCCTGAAATAGAATAAAAAAAACATTGAGTCACACAATGAAAGTGACCTTGAAACAAATAAAACAAATAAAAAAAAAGGCATGAGTGAGTCTGTAATAAAATGAAAAAAAAATATATAAAGCCACATGATGTAAATGATCATATCATGAAAACAGAAAAGGCTTCATAATGATTCACTATTGATATGGTTTAAATTACTTTACTGCATTATAGTATAAAGTAGCATAAGGTATACATGAGATGAGACTTACAAGGATTAGCACCATCAGCCACTAGTAACATACGTAGTGAAGATAAGTTGATGTCTTTGTGATCTTTTTGTGCTAGGAGACCCCAGTGCATGTCACGTGACTTCACTATGGCAACCGAAGCTGAAACAAACAAACATTTTGCACTTTACACACTTTTTGACCATAATCCCTTACAGTGTAGTTCAATGAAAGACCTTGTAAATGTATATTTTCTAGTTTTCTTGCATCAGTCTGCGTGATACCCCCCCCCCCCTCCTTTGGCAGCCTAGATTTCTTTTTATTGAACATAGACAGGGGATATGGAGAAAAGAGAAGAAAACTTACACTTGAAGCAGAACTTAAATTTTTCCACATTGGTTAATTTTTACTTGATTCAAATCAATTAAAATAGAAGGTAATATTTCAAAATGAATTTGAGGAAGTGGGTCATGTATGAATGACAGAGGAGCAATATCAGGGTGGATAAATTTATTTTACCTTTATATTTTGTAATCATTTTCATCCATGAGGCAGGATCAATCTTCATTAAAGAGTAGGGAATAAATATCACATGCATTCCACAAAAAACGCTCTGCAATAAAATAAAACAAGAAGATATTAACTGATGTATCAAACCTAGAGATGAGTATTTTGGCAAAAAATTGACCATATGATATATTTACATGATGTTGGACTTGAAACACAAAGGGCAACATTGAACTGAAAACTGACGACACTTATAATGTACACTAGATACATTTTAATTACAACTGTTATATAAATAATGCCTTACACATTAAATGTCCTTTGGGATGAAATTAAGACTGCAAATATGTGTAACAATTAAGATTAAAGTGTAAAGTGTAACTTACACTTAAAATGCCGTGCCACAGTCCGACATCTTTTTTGAAGTCCAGAACACAGACCATGACTTCACCCTCTGTATAGTTGCACGCAATTGTGAGGGCTCTACAGTGACACAACATCTGAGACCTGGTTACTGTCACTCCCATAACGCTACCATCTCTGTCTGTTGTATACTGAAGTAATACAGATGTATAGGGGTTCAAATGATAGTATATAATAGGGAAAGGGGGTGTGTAGTGAGAGACTTGGTTAGTCACACTAGCATCTTTGAACCTCCATTTCCCATTGGATTACATGGTAATGACGATTTTAAAAAATTCATCTTTATCATCAATTTTCAACCTATTGCAATTGAGGAAAAAAATTGAGAAAATTTGGAGGTATTGGAAATAAAGTCAAGTTACGTTTCCATCAATATTATAAGTTATTTCATCGCCGGTTAAGTAAATAAAAATTCAAACGTAAAGAGGCTTTAACACGTAGTTCAATGGGGGAGCTAAGGTTGCCAAACTTATGGAGGGGAGTGTATATTGTTATACAATATGTATGGGATTAAAATGATGGTAGATCTTGAACATTTACTTCATTGTTTTCAAATGTTAACTTCAGTATGTGTCCGGCATGCTCAATGTATTTAACGAGTTGAAAAGTCTGAGGCAATATAGACCAAGGGACAAGACAGTTGTATTCCATTTGTCTCGCATATAATGCCTCTTATAATAATCTGAAATACATGGTATAGATCCATACTTTAAAGAAGACTGTTGAAATGTTGAGCATGAGTTAAAATAACAGGTCGTGACAAATACACGTCATTCAATTAGAGAAATCCAAATGATAAGAGACTTTGCATGGTCCATCTTGCCTCAGCTTTTACATGACGTATGATCTACACTGATTCTTCAAACACCACAGTTCTAGCATGCCGTTAATATGTGGATACATACCCTTACCTCAACATAAGCTGGAGCATCATCAGACAGTCTTGAAGGTGGGAGGAAGTCTTTGTGGGGTTTACTGAGGTGTTCTGTAATCATCCATTTCAGTCGAGGCCAACCTACAAAAAATATGTCAACTTCAATTTAGGTGAGACTAGAGGAATTAATTTTTGAGGATGGTATTCATCAACTTATAAAAAGCCTCGACACAACATGATCAAAAAGGGTCATAAATTTTACATAAAAGTGATACATTTGGTACAATACATTCAAGGTTTAAATAAGGGATCTTAATTATATGTCCTTATATTTGAGGTTTTAAGAGTACTTTTGATGTGATTATCTAACTGTTATGTAAAGATTTGCCACACCTTTATTTTAAAACTAAAGCTTTGTTGTACCTTTAAATTGTGAAACATCTCCTGTTGGTGACTTGGGTAGGCCTTTCATACAGGCCTCTGATGTGAGAGCGACAGTCACGTTGAGGCTTCCAAGTAAGAAGCCAATACCTTGACTACCAGCATCCTGTAAAAATGTAATCTATAAAACATATGGCTGTGTTGAAGCCGCAATTTGTCCCCAGATGAGAAAATACATTAATGAATCTGTGGAACATTTAGGATTGCTTTACTCCATTAGATCTAAGCTCATAACCGGCAGGGAGCCTGAATATAAGGCTGATATATGATGCAGTCTTTAAAGTCAAATCTTAATCTGTCCATCTAAATAAAGTTACTTGCAGAGAATACAAAAATAGATTAATAAAAAACTTACCCGTTTAGTGAGAGGGACCTCAATAGGGACGGGGACTATACCAGCTGTGATGCATCCATAGAAGGCACACATGTAAGATATTGGGTCATTGTTAGGGTATACGAGAGCCACCTGAAAATGAAAACATAAGGTTGAGAGTCACTCAGATTGCGTTCTACAGCGCCAATAATACTTAGACATTGATGTTGAATATAGGTTAATGAAACACAGAATGAAATTATTACCCTATCCCCTGGTTGTAAGTTGCCCTCTCCCTTGTGCCCAGTTCTGTGTAAGAGCGTGTAGGCGATTTTGTGGCATCTGCTCATAAGCTTGCCTAAAACATAAACATTGCATTGGTGAATTCAATACTTAGCTTTCCAATGGTACTGAATTTAATGTGATAGATTGTGTTGGGATAAACACTGCATTATGGAAATATAAAGTTGTAAAAATATACCAAATTACTTATTGGAAATTTTTTAATCACTTTTAGGGGTTTCATTCAACTTTTACTGACAACAGGCAAAACGAATGAAAACAGACAAAATAATTTAAAAACATTGAAACATGACAAAACTCCTTAAAAAACAGTCAGTGAAAATCACATGTTCCTCCTGTCTTTTGATACACCTAGATTAGTTTGACATTTTAGAAATTAGATTAATTACTCAACAGTTTAACAATAAATTACATGTATATTATTTTTTCATTCGACAACTTGTAAATGTCACGATGAAAATTTAGCTTCAGCAAAAGGCCAAAGCCATAAGTTAAAACATACCATATGTAAGTGTTATGCTTGGTTTCCCATTGGTGTCGAGTGTTGTCACAGCTGTTGCTTTGTAAGTGGCAGAGCCGTAGCGTTGGACTGCTGCCTCCAAATTCCGTGGTAATCCCGACGGTATCTACAACAAATCTCAACAGCTATAAAATACAACATAAAACATGGAAATATCATATTTTGAAGTTGACATAATTTACTACTTTCATTTTTTATAGTTATCCCAACAGTATCTCGATCAATAATAAAATGACTATAACTTAGAAAACAGTCATATCTATAATATAATATGACATTGCAAGAATAATGTATTATATCACGAGATTTTTTCAATAGGGTTAAACAATTCTTAAGCATTAAAAAGTCTTAAAAATAAAAGTATCTTGTATCTTATCTTTAATACATCATTAGCTTTGAGGAAAATTCTTGAAATGATGAAAAATTGATATTTTTTTCTACTGACCACAAGTTGTTCCCCAACTGCAGGAGTGATGGAATTGCCCTCTGGTTTTGGTGCATTCTTATCACTAGGTATCACTGGAAGAAGAAACTGTTGTTATGACAATTGTCCAATCTCCATTGTTCTTTTACATTGGCGACATTATACCCACAGATATGTTTCTGGGAATGACATTCTGATGAATTATTAAATTTTGATTTATTTTCATTAATTTTAAGCACTGATAGTGCCATTTTTGGATTTATTTACTAGAAGCAATCAGATACATATAAATAAATTATACATACATACACACTATAGTATAAGATTAAACATAAATACTTGAATTTTGAAGGAACCGTGAACATTCTTACCATCTGTTTCGTCATGTTCTTCTACAAAGTATTCTTTTGCTGGTTTTCGTTTTGGCCTCTAAAACATAAATGAGAGAAAGATTAATGGAAAATGTTGCATATTCACTAGACTGATATAACCGCATGGTTGTGGTTTCTGTTAATACGAGTATATAACAAAATATGAATAGCAACTTATTAAATCAATGAACACCATTTGAGAACCTTTTCAAGTACTCCAACAAATATTATGTAATTCAAATTCTTACCTTTAATGTGTTTAAAAGTTGTTGTATTTTAGCTGAAACCTTTCCATGTCCCCGTGACTGACCTATAAAAACACAAAAATGATTAAACAACAATATAATTGAAAGGATAAAAACTGGATAGTTTATACAGAATAACACAAATTCCCTTGGGTAAATTGTCCCCAATGGTTTACACAGTGATATGATTTCCTCATTGGTTTATATTAGAGGGCCCATTAGAAGGGTGTGGGGTTACACTAATTATTAAAATTTAAAGTTAGGGGACAACTTGATCTGTAATATCCTTCCTCTCAGGAAACTCAACACAACATAATCAATAACTGCATCCATATTCAAGATAGAAATCTTGCTGAAGGCTTATTGAAAGTTTAAGATTAATGGAAGCACAATCATTGATTTTAATAGGATTGTGAATATAGAGATTGAAATTTCATTTCAAAATGTATGACAGTAAAAGGAGTATACAGGATTACCCAAAAAATGTTGTCTATTTGAACATTTCCCAAGGACTGGTTTTATAAATCATTAATAATAAATATCTCATCATCACTTTTTATTTAAAAATTGGCATATTTAACACGATTATGGTTTGAACAGTCCACCAACCTTAATAAATAAAAACAAATTTTACCCCAAAGAAACAAAAACAAAAAGACACGACATATCTTACCCTCTTCTCCCATCCCTGTGACAGCCCCATAGCTGGAGACGCGTACACTCTGTGCATGGGCGTGGCTGTAGCGCTGGCGGTCAGCTTGTGTCATCTGTGGTGTACTTGTATTGCTGGTTATGTCGGGTGGTTGGCTCGCTGCTTTCCTTGCACCAGTGACATCTGGTGGGGTGATTGGGGCTGAAATAGAAAAATTGAAGAATATTTAAAGAACTTTGGAAGGGTGTTACAGCTCTTCGAAGCAACTGCAAGGAGTATAGAGGAAGAAACAAGGTAGTGCAGCATTATTGACCTCTACCAAGGTCAACTGTCAAAGTTATATACCAACACTTAACATCAACTGAAAAGCGAAAAAATGGCACAATCAAAATCCAAATCTTGTATTTCATGTCAATATTTTACATAAATTATGAAGATTAGTTGATACATTCCATATCGGAAAATGGTAACACTGAAAGTCAAGAAAACAATGATTTTCCCACAAATCCAGAAAAACGATTGCTACTTTTAATACCAGTGTGAGAGTGAAGCATTTGTGAAAATTTATTTATGGACTAATTAATAGGTCATAAACAATAATCCACAGCCATCTTAACACAATTATTATTGATTTATAAGACTTCTCAATGGTACTTTGAGCGTGCCACAACATTCTCTAATACAATATGTCATTGAAGACATATCAACTGCAATAAATGTCAGAATTTTAATTATAACAAGAATTAAATTGCCACTTATCAAACATTTTTTGGACAAAACATGAGCAACTAAACTTATGAGATCAATATTACAGTCTGTAGTAACCATGCAAACATAACTCTAAAGTATTCCCATCAAATTGTACAGCAGTTACTTTGTTTTATTTGGACTGAGTAAATCTTGAGATTATTTGGACTGAATAAATCGTGAGTTGGATTGAGTTTATTTGGACTGAGAAAATCTTAGAGTTTGATTGCGTTTATTTGGATTGAGTAAATCTTGAGATTATTTGGACTGAATAAATCGTGAGTTGGATTGAGTTTATTTGGACTGAGAAAATCTTAGAGTTGGATTGAGTTTATTTGGACTGAGTAAATCTTGAGTTGGATTGAGTTTATTTGGACTGAGTAAATCTTGAGTTGGGTTGAGTTTATTTGGATTGAGTAAATCTTTAAAACTCAATGCGAAGTAGGAGTTAGTTCCACAATTCTCTTAATCTCTTAATCAAAACATATAAAAGAACATAAACATTCACAAACATTTCATTTGTTATTTGATAATTTGAAACAGTTGTTATTTTGCACGTGCTACACATGTACAGTCAGTAAACCATCCCTATAAGCATGTAAACAGAAATTGAATTCTGAGTCTACATTGAAATGTTCACATTGAGAGATCCTGAAAATGGGAATCCAAAGTATAAAGTGTTCACTTTTTTGAGATTAAGTTAAAGAGATATGCTGTACATTCATGTAGTTTTATTACACATGCATGGTAACTTAACATTGCAATAAACAAAAAAATATCTCATTGAAAATGTCAAACCGACCTAGTAAAACTTGTAAGTACATAAAATAATGAAAACAACGTAAAAGTTTAAATGAAGGAAACCAATACATTCAGAGAATCAATAAAAATGTATGGAAGTTTGGAAATGAAATAAATGTGGCGACCCCTTCTTTTGATATGCACAACTTGAAGTATCGTTTACAAAAAGGAAGTAAATGAAAACCTTTTTGTAATTCATCTCAATTGTACCAGTAGGTGACTCACTAAAATATCTTTAAACTCTCCTGAAGATAAGCAAAATTATTTTTGCACTTCAGAATAAACCTACATTTGATGAGTTTTTTTGATCTAGTTAGATCTATTTTAAATTATATTGAAGTAAAGTAAAACATGAATACATGAACATCCTCATAAAGTGAACACATCAAAATGTTCATATTAGGGAAATATAAACAAATGTTTTACTATATCTGGTTAAGTTTTAAAGATCACATTGGCTCCCATGTTATCAGGACATCATATGTAACCACCTTGCAATCTGCAAATGTTTTCCAGTCCCAACATCATTCACTTTAGCGTTTAGACAGATTTTACCATATAATAGGACACAGTATGCTTTAAGGATGACCTTTCAATGGTTGTGCAGGTGTGAAGTACATAAACTTATAAACCAGTTGTTTTTTCTAAATTTCTCAACAATGAAGAAGCTCTACTTTATCCAACATTTATATCCATGTAAACATTGTAAAGTGCCGACTGCAACCACCTTCAAAGTTCACAGTTTCTTGTTCAAGATCTCTTGATTTCTAGATTTTCAATAAATACCCATTATAACATATATAATAAATACACAACGTCCATGTATTGTGAAGACTGCGGTTAGTAACCACCTCCAAAGTTCAAAGTTTCTCCATCCAGATCTAATTTCAAATCTTTGTCAAACTATGCCACCGAGTCCTTATTACATTCTCTCAAGTTTTGTAAAATTTTCCGAAATTCTAACCACCAAGCAAATGCCGAATCTGGTCTTGTTTTTCTAATCTAGACAGATAGTAATTAGCAACATAGTTATTGGTAACATTTCTCTTCATTCCGTTGAGGTTTCGGCTATTTCTAAATTCCAACTTGCAAAAGCTGAATGTCAACATGTATCCAGGCCTGTTACATCACATAGCTGGTTGGCTGGTCTGTTCATGATTCTGGCAAAGCTCTATTTTGTGTACAGTACACCTACATAAACTTTACGTTAATAATGTGCATGTATATATTATATGTTAATTAAGTATACAACATGGAAATTAATGTATCCACTGTATTTATATAGAACATATTATTCTTATTCATATTATTATATGTACATAAACTCTGTTAATAATGTGCATGTATATATTATATGTTAACCAGAACAAAGGCAACGCCAAAGCGTAGCGAATCCCATCGAACAGAAATGGCTGGCATTTTTACAAACGAAGCGCAAATATCATAAAACAACACACCAGAAAGGCCACCATTTTCAAAATGGTTGCTCACTAGCCAAGTTGTCATCAGAAGAAATAATATGCTTTTAAGTAGCCACCTCTAAAATTTTTTGAAAAATCGCACACATACTTGTAAAATAACACACGTAAAAATGGTGGCCATTTTTCAAAATGGCCGACTACTCCCCAAAGTTTTATTAGACAATGTGCCATGCTTAAAGTATTCACATATCAAATATGAACAAAATCGCTCCACTACTTTTCTTGTAATAGTAAAATACGTTAAAATGGCGGCCATTTTTCAAAATGGCCACCTTCTACCAAAAGCGTCATTAGAAATAGACGGTGTTCCATGCTTATAGTATTCACATACCAAATATGAACAAAATCGTTCCACTACTTTTCGAGTTATAGTAAAATACATTAAAATGGCGGCCATTTTTCAAAATTGTTTTCAAAATGGCCGCCTTCTACCAAAAGTGTCATAGGACAGTGTACAATGCTTATAGTATTCACACACCAAATATGAACAAAATCGCTCCACTATTTTTAGAGTTACAGTAAAAATCGTAAAATGACGAGTAAAGGTCGCCATTTTTCAAGATGGCTGCCATGTGCTTTTTAATATCTACATTTGTAGCATTATTAATGTCCTTTATAATTTTTTTTACATTTAAAACATATTGCTATTACAGTTTTACATATTGCACCTAAATTACTATAAAATTGTCACTAAAATGGCCGCCATTTTGAAATGAGTGGCCATTTTGAAAATCGGCTTTAGAGCAGAACTTCTACCCTCATAGGGTATATGTGTACGAAATATGAACAAAATCGGGCCAACGATATTTGAGTTATTGCCCGGACGGACGGACGGACGGACGGACGGAGGCGTTCCCTATATCCCTCCGAACTTCGTTCGATGGGATAATTAAGTATACAACATGGAAATTAATGTATCCACTGTATTTATATAGAACATATTATTCTTATTCATATTATTATAAGTACATAAACTCTGTTAATAATGTGCATGTATATATTATATGTTAATTAAGTATACAACATGGAAATTAATGTATCCACTGTATTTATATAGAACATATTATTCTTATTCATATTATTATATGTACATAAACTCTGTTAATAATGTGCATGTATATATTATATGTTAATTAAGTATACAACATGGAAATTAATGTATCCACTGTATTTATATAGAACATATTATTCTTATTCATATTATTATATGTACATAAACTCTGTTAATAATGTACATGTATATATTATATGTTAATTAAGTATGTAACATGGAAATTAATGTATCCACTGTATTTATATAGAGCATATTAATGTATACATAAGTTTAACACTGAGATGATTATGTACAGTATATATCACTTCTGAGGGAAGATATGAATAAACTTCCAAGGGATGTAACCTTTAACTATACCCTGGGACTATACCAAATACTGTACATAGTGAATAAAGGATTTATCTAATGATCAATGTCAGGTAGTTGAATTTTCAATTTGTAATTAAAAATAAAAATGTGTTAAAATGCTTTGTGACTACAGTCTTAAACCAAAGTACAGTATAAATATTATATAAGAAATTAAGTGTAGTGTATCTGTATGAATACTGTATATGTTCATAGGTGTAGTGTATCTGTACATAAGTATACTATATCTGTATATACATGTACTGTATACTGCATCTGTAACAATAAATGAAACACAGCATAAATGCTCTTTTACTGTAACCATCTCACGATAGATCAGTGGGAAACCACAGAAAACTGAAGATGTATTAAATCACATGCTCACATGTAAAATGAGTCCCCACTTATCTCAATCACAAGGGTAGAAGATAAAAATATCCATATAAAACAGTCTTCAGTAGAAAAATAATGTTATCCTTAGGATGAATGGAGTTGTTCATGTATTAGATCTTCTAATATAATACTGTATTGGTACCATTTCAGCGGGACTTGGTACTTTTTACGTGTCTCAGTACTCATTTGATTTCTTTGTTCTCATGGGTATCTTAGTATTTATATATTTTGGTACTTATTCTGTGTCTTAGTACCAAGATATGGAATATATACCATCTCATATCTCGATATGTCTATGGTGTCTTGGTACTTTTACACTGTGGTACTCTTTCATCTAGTTGGATGACAAGATTTTAAACTGGTTTTACAAAATAAAATATGTTCTTCACATTCTGATATCAAATGTCCTATCACAGTAGGATGCAAGGAGAGAGAGAAGGTTTGGCTGACCAAAATGTTACATAGCACTCTGTGATCATATTCACTGATAGCTAATCATACATATAATACATGAACATAATTAATATATAATATCATCAAATTACAATCCTATAGATTGGAAGGGATGTATCTAGAATTTCTATATAATGCTTCATTCTGTATTACACACTGTGTTATACTCTCATGAGAATTTGTTATATTCATTCAATCATTATCACCATTGCTCACCAATGATCACATTTCATGTAGATAGTGCATAACTTAATACTGAAGTCTCGCATCATCCCATGTGACCCCTCACCCCCCACCCCCAAATATCCATCTCTGACCTCTGAAGAAAGGAGAGCAAACAAATATGGGAACCAAATATTTGATACAAGACTATATTTGGACTACCCTATTCTAGAGGTTGATTCTGGGTCTTTTAAAGAGCCCAGTACAAATCTCTGTTTCTCAGGGTTTATTTGAAATGATCCTTTAAAAATATTACACAATCATGCAAAATCACAGCCTTCTATTGATAACATTTTTTATGAAAAATAGCAGCCATTTTGAAATTCAGCTGTCATCTTTCAAATTTCCTTTATTGGTTTCTTTCTAGAAGGTTGATAGTTTGAGGAAAGAATGATGTGATGAGTATCAGAATGTGAAAACCCCATTTATATGTAGAACTGAGTAAAATGTAATAATGTGGTAACACTGGTAAGCTTACAAATAATTCACATTCCATTGTGTATTAACAATTTCATGTTGTGCAGTATTGCAATACATAATTTATAAGTTCCAACCATGCTTTGTACTTACAACCATGATTGAATTCTACATCTAAGGCATATGAGAAGTATACGTCAATTAATTACGTTGAAAACATAGAGAAGCCTCAGTAAGGCGCCTTTGAAAAATTGATAAATACAGTGATCTCCCCACCACAAGAGCAACTGGGTGTTCTACGCTGTTGCAAATTGAAATCAAATGCTACCCACTTGAAATTTGCTTGCACACTATCAAAAGAGTGAAATATTGAGATATGTTGACCAAAACTGGTAAAATTAGGAATTAGCATCCAATTTAAAAAACACTAGTAAAGATCACTGAAATATGTATTGAATATCTATAAAAGTATGACATAACATTTTAAGAGTCATGGTACCTGAAAAAGGAGACTCTGAGCCTCTACAAGAATAATTTGAGCATTCTAGCTCAAATACCAAAGCTTCTAAAGATCTGACTTTGGGAAAAGGATTCACCTTTTTTTCAAATACTAGTAGTTTTTACACTAAGAGTTAAAACCCATTGCAATAATGTTTTCTGGTGCAACTTACATGTCTGAACATTACAAAAGTACAAATCTATGAATGTAGTATGAAACTAAAACCCACTTCCCGAGATATCAATCCAAAAAATGTAAAGAACATTTCCTTGATACATGTCTACTGTAGGTCATTGCGACCTATCTTACTTTTACTTCTTTCAAAAGGAAATTGGTTTCTTCATGATTTCAGCCTTTTAGTTTTTATTTCCCAATTGGTAGCGACTTCTCCATCAATTTCCAATAAAAAGTAATTATGACATATGAAAAACATGAATAACATAGACACGGAACAAAGAACATGAAAGGAAAATAAAAATTCAATTTTGTCTATATGTATACAATATCTGAACCCTAAATATCGATAATAATTAGGCATGTTAATTAGTCTTGTACCAGGCCCATAATCATAATTTTTCCTGTGTTAATGTGTGTAAGAGAGTACACATGAGATTGATACCAGGCTACTTGTTAGTATCATGGGCTTTCCATTCTAATTGAAAGCCCATGTTAGTATGCTTCAGAATATGTTAAAATCCACCTACATATATGTGTATTTTGCATGACATCTGCCAGGGCACTCCTAGCCTGGTTTCCTGGGACGTTAATATTGGCGTATATATGAGACCGAGTCCTATCTGCCCCCATACTGGGCCCTGCCGCTGGACTGGGGGAAGAGGCATGGCTATGACGACCACCTGAGCTAGCGGAGCGACCCGACCCAGACCGACCAAGGTCAGAGTTCTCGAATGCGCTATCATCATCTGATGAGGAATCTGCAACAAAATAGAAACAAGTGTGTTATTACATGTAATAAACACAGGGAGGTAAAAATGACAAAGATGGTGAATATTTCCATTTAAAGCTTAGCATTACGATGCTCCACATTCCCATACAATGGATAAAACAAAGTGGAAAGTATCAAACCCAATGTTCAATACGTATATATTGTATATAGTTTCTAAGATATGAATGAGAGATTTTTGACATATTTTTGCATCTGTAATGCCACATAGGAATGTCTTGTTTGTTTTAATGGTTGTTTTTTTGCTTTTAAATAATGCCGCCTCCTATGTTTTCTAATCACAGGTTGATTCTTTATCTTATAAAAGAGTCAATTATGTCTTACAAACACACACAGAGCCTAGAAACCTTGAAAGATTTGAGCTGAATGAAGGATACAGCATCGGCTTAAATACACAGAACATATGAGTACATGTAAATGATACACAAGTACATGTACCGGTACTTTAAACGTACCTGGTGTACTACGTCTTCTATGTTGGTCACGTTTCACGACAGCCGATGTACGCTTTGAGGGCATGGGCATCGCACTCTTTTTCTCCTTGTGTTGAGCCAAGGCCTGCATCACTGCCTCCGTGCGGATCTCTGCAAAGTTTAAGTCAAATCTCGACATTTAATACTAAGTCTCACTACAATCATTCCTAAATATTTATTTATTTCCCTTTTCCGTCAAAGAATTCCTCAAGGTGATCTAGGAGTCATCAGTGATTGATATTTGTTATGTTATATAAGCTATTGAGTTAAGTTGGACATGCATAGGCAAGCCATGTACATGTACAGATACAGGTTTAGACATGAAGAGAGCTGAAGATGCGACAGATTTAACATGGAGTGTTGTGAAACATGTGGCACAAATGGGCAATGACGATGTGTCAATTAACACTATGATGATTCAGTTTTATTTTAACATGTGGAATGTGATTATTAAACACAAATAACCATAAAGCAAACATTCATAATCAAATAACTTTGACATAATGCAACAAGACATGTATAAGTCATGACTACATGTGTTAAGACATGACTGAACTAGTATGGAGATTGTCTCTATATAGATAAGTTATGACTATACAAGGTATGACTATATTTATAATTCATGACTATACGTATATAAAGATGACTATGTATGTTATGCCTACATGTAAGAACCCTCTGAAAATTAGTCACAGCCATTTAGTCTGCCACTTTTGTTCACTTGGGTCCCTATGGTCAATGTGAAAACTGAACATGCAAAGATGGTTGTTTCTACCATTCATCTGATCTCTTATGAGGAAACAATATAATATTCTAATCACAAATCCTCTGATATATCAAGAAAGTATCCCTTAAGAAAAAAGCCATGGTAACCATGGTATTCCATGGTGCGTCCATGGTAATCCATGGTTTTCCATGGAAATTCATGGTTTTCCATGTTATTTTCCATGGAAATTCATGGACGCCCATGGTAATCTTCCATGGATATTTACCATGATTTTCTGTGGTAATTGGTGGTTTGATAATTGGTTTTTAATGGATGTGTCATGGGCGGCTTTTACCATGACACATGGACATGTAAAATGAACAATTATGGTAGGATTTGTATTTACCAAAATCTCCAAAATTAATGTTTTGATGATATATCCCAGTTGGACTGAGACTTATCATAGAGAAAAAAGGGTGGACATTTCATTTTTTAGGTTTAGCAAGAACGTTCATTGAATGTTAAACTCAGCTTCCTTACAAATTAGAAAATATGTGAAAATTATATAATTTTTTTATATAGAAATATGATAGTGCAGTTAATGCAGCACAGAGTAGGCCACAAGATTTCAAAAACAATTGTGCAAAGGGCTTTTGTGTAGATCAAGACTAGATAGAGATTGCTTATTTTTTAGGCCAAACACTTCTTTCCTTTGAAAAAGATTAAGTCAAACTAACCCAAGCTCTGTTTTTATTTCAACACTTTCTTTAATTTTCAGTTTTAAAAATCAATATGAAATAATTTAATAAATAATTTTTTTTAAATTACATTTCGTACATTTGAGAATACAATCAAAAACCATGGTTTCTTTCTTTGAAGTTGAGGAAACTGTAATCAAAAGCCATGGAAGTCGGTTGATTGCAATCGAAAGCCATGCTTTTCCATGATTATTTCTTTGATGTTTCGGAAAGTGCAATCAAAAGCCATGGTTTTCCATGGTTATTCTTTTGATCTTTTGAAAGTCCATGGTTTTCCATGGGCTATTTGTTTGGTCTTTTGGATGCAGAAAAAAGAATAAAACATTTTGTTTCTAAATGAATTTCTCCAAATTAAGTCCCATTCAACCTTTATAAGAATATTATCTCTCAAATTAATGTTAAAAAATTAATCTCTTTGCAACAGATTATAATAGTTCATTTGCATAATTCTTAAATATTCTGATCTTAATTGTTATTATGTATGATAATCTTACTCTTTCTAATGCTCCCACTTCAGTAATTATTATTGTCGGTGAGTGTAGACAGTGCAAGTCAAAAACTCATTGTTGATCAAATAAAACCAAATAAGATTTACTCCAAATAAAAATGTTTATTCAGTCTACAATGAGGGAATCCAGTGAGCTGATTTTATCACTTATTTTGTCTTTTTTTACATCAGTGCCAAGTTAAATGAAAGCAAATCCCAGCAAACAAATTATTACTTGTAATTGTGGGGTCAAATCATCAATTAAAAAAATATTGAGTAAATAGTTCTTTGTCATATGACACTATGTACAGAATGTACAAACATATATTCAGATTGTAAAAACATGGTTGTATTTCAGGCCTGAAACCAGCTTTTGTCAAGAAGGTCGACTTTCTCAAAAATTTGAGGGGGAGGGGCGTCATATTCTTCTCTCTATGATTAGTCTCAATCCAGCTTGGATTCATTCGTTAAAATATTGATTCAATTTTGAAGATTTTGGTAAAAACAAAACATGCCAAAATTGTTGATTTTACAACTCAAGTGTCATGTTAAAAACATGGCATGTCCATGAAAAAACAATTACCAAACCACTAATTACCACGGAAAATCATGGTAAATATCCATGGAAGATTACCATGGGTATCCATGAATTTCCATGGAAAATACCATGAAAAACCATGAATTTCCATGGAAAACCATGGATTACCATGGACGCACCATGGATTACCATGGACGCACCATGGAATACCATGGTTACCATGGCTTTTTTCTTAAGGGATATCTACTAGAGTCTCTCATTTCTGTACATACACGTCTCTGTTAAGAGGTACAAGGGATGAGGGACTCGTGCCAGAAAAACGCATAGTGTTTTAGCTAAGGACTTTAAACTAGCTAGTCAAAACGACATTATAGACCAGTTAGTATACCAATAAGTCATGCATTAAGTCCTTGGATCTCCCCAATCTACCTTACCACAGGTCTGTATGTAAAGTGAGGGGGTTGCCAAAACAGGGGCTTGAAGCATGTCTACTATTCAAATGATCTGTCAATCCATATCAAGAAAGATGCTAATGACCAGCTGACTGCCTTAAGGATTGAATCATTAAAAAGTATCATCTGTCAAAAATGTAATTAATTCCATTTAGACTTATTTTGACCCCCACCCTCCCCTCAAAACATATCTTCGCTGATATGTTGATGAACCAGACAATTTAAACTGGTGCTTTCATAAAACAATTTGGCTTTTATCCCAACGCAAAAAGACGTATACAATCATGTCTTTTGACAGGGTCGTTGTTTTATCAGACACCTTAATAGAGCCCTGTACAGTACATACATACAACAGAAGAATGTGGACTTACCAGAGTGGTATCTGTTATCCTCACGGGTGAGACGACGATGCGCACGTCGTGCTGCAGCAGTAGATGGACTAGGCTCAGTGGGACCAGATGCTGGAAATAAATCACATCATTGAGACCAATAAGATCACAAGGTATAGTCACTCTTACAAATCAGTCCTGCCTGAAGATGGTTTCTTAACTTCACCTTTCCTGTGTAACATATCCAAAATCTATTCCTGATTATCTGTATATCCAATGTAAGGATTCAAACTTCTCACATTTAGATCACATGAAATGTATAGTCATTCCTATATATTTTGTCCCGATCCGTTGCTGTTGTTGCTTGTAATAACATGTAATTGCCACAATTATAAAGCAGCATCAGTTATATCCCATTATCTCCTAAAGGAGAAACCTATAAGCCAGGTTACACCCTACTTTGAATCATATCTCCTCTTGTAAAAACTTTACTGCTGGATACCATCCAATGCTATAATGTAACGCTTCATTCTCCCATACATCAGAGCATACCATGGCATTTACCTCTCTCTCTTGCTAACCTATAAAGTTAGGACCGATGCAAACATTTAAGGTAGGATGGGTAGGATGAAATCTGCCTGACTAAACCAGTCTATTTCATGCTGATGGCAAGTCCAAAAGATGCCTAACCAGTACTAACTTAACCTAAAATTATACAGTAAAACCTGAACACCTGTGGAGCCTATAGGGAGGTGTTCACTATAGGTAGGTGTTCCCATAGGCGATTTTATATAGAAGTCAATGGAGTATGTGTTGACAAGAGGTGTCTACTAGACACAAGTGTTCACTAGAGAGACTGGTGTTCACAAGAGAGAGAGGCGTTCACTTAGACAGGTTTTACTGTATATCATATAATCAGTCTAATGTTACTCGACTAGGCCTACCTGAAACGTATAGCCTTACAATGTTTCAAATCTTAAAGTAACTTGACAGGTACATTATAATAATATCTCAAGTCAAAAGTTGCCTCACAAGAGCTACCTTAATCTGAGAGTCTTATACTAATTCAAGTCTAAAGTAACTGAATTAGACCTAGACCCACCTTAATGTTAGAAAAAATTTCTAATCTAAAAGTAACTTGATTACACCTACCTTAACCTTAAAAGCGTACATAATTTCAAGTCTAAAAGTTACCTAACTAGACCTACCTGAATCTTTAGAATCATTATCACTATTTGTTATTTGAGCATTTTTGTTATCTCCTCTTATCTGGACACTTCAGTATCAGTTGGTAGCTCCTATAAGACTACAGTGAACTTTCTCAAATAAGAAAATAAAATGTTTTGCTTCATCGATTCAGTGCTCCGAGGCATCAATATTCCATCCTATCATATTCAAAATAAGAAATCTCACCATGCTTAGATTTGAACACATGTATGTAGTATGTAAACTTACTGAAACACTATAAATAACTGTATGAAAGAATTTCATCACTCATGTTACATTCTGCGCTTCAGACAGCCAAGTTATAATACCACAAATACTTCAGAATATCAATAGATCATTTTCCTACTCAAATAGCCAAGGTAAAAAATGAATATGTGTTTAGCATGTAAACCACCACATTTTAGGTGCAAATTAGTTATGATTCATTTAGATATATATGTACTGTGTACCTTTACTTTAAAATGTTGGGCTCATTCATTACACTTACATGGTTTCCTATAATTCACCAATTCAACCGCCATGTTGAAATGTTAAACAAATAGCCTGATATTTTCCTGATAATCCTCAATCCTCAACTTACAGTGAGTGATTATGGTGATTATCACTTTATCCATATCATATCATATATGATATTGTATTGCGTCATATCATGTCATCATATCCATCAAATGATTTTATTATATTTCTAGAATATCTCTTGAAAGGATTCTTTTCCAATTTTGGCATTTTACTTTTATCCCTTAATGTCTAACAGTAAAATCGTGGTCTCAGGATGTGTAATTTGTCAACACTGTTACCAAACTGTTCACTTCCACAAAAACAATTCCTTCAGTGCTCATTATTGGAGCAACCCTTTACCAGTAAAAAACTTTCCATTTCGCATAGTTTATAGATAACTGAAAAAGCATCCAAAATAGTGAAATCAACATCTTTAGCTTAAGAAAATAAAAAATTCGGGACAAACTGTTTCTTGCTTATGTTACATGATCAAATGACATGTGAGTTATCTTATATTGAAGATTGTGTTAAGATTCTACAAGGGAGGTCTGCACCATCAGGTGTCACAATAATTGGGCATCAACTCAGTATTCTGAACAGGACCTAGAAACATGCTAGCACAGGCTCTGAACTTTTCACGTAATAAAAAAGTACATTGTATTTCCATTGTGATTTTTTAGCTTTTTAATTTCATTAATTTAAGCTTCTAAAGCTTTATCACTTTGCAGTACAATATCATATCTTAATAAAGGTGCATGTGAGTACTGCAACAATTTGAGGTTTTGAAAGTATGCTTGCACCCACTTATCAACACCAATCTGAACTGTGAAAATAAGAATTATGCACTTCAAAACTTCAAACAAAAATCTTGTTAAAAACACTCATGTCTCCTCTTTAATTAGCATTGACTTACACCATTTCATTGAATTAAAAATATTTAGTTAAAGATGCCTCGATTTACTTAAGACTACTTTAAACATGTAAAACCTTCTCTCAATATTTTGAAATTATTCCGAGGAGAAAACTTGACTGATATCAGCACAACAAAAATGATAAAACAGCAGCTTCACAGAGCTGCACAGCAAACTTAAATTTAAAAAATTCATCTAATCACACTTCAGTTTTAACATTTCAGCATTTATAAATCCTCACACACTTCAGAGCCAGTGGTAAATAAATGGTAGACCACCTGTTACACTAAATTCATCCAAGTTGGAGGCATCATTCTTTTACAATTATTCCATTTTTTATAGTACATAAACTTGGCTGATGATTATCTTAAAAAATGCACATATTATATATGCTGGCTTTTTCAGGGGAGAAATAACTAAAATAGAGTTCATACTTCAAAAGTTTTATATTGTATCAAATCATGTTAAAATATACATCCAGTATCAAAGATATTCTTAATCTTGGGAATTTGGTATTTGTCATTATACATCTAACCAAAATTCAAATGAAACCCTGAACTTGTGAAGATGTGAAATCTTTCTTTCAACAGAAATTCTTTGACAAAACAGGACTATAAAATTCTGCAAAAACCTTTTACCAGACAACAAATATTATGATTAAAACCTTTTACTTAAACTGATATTAGTTAGACAAAAATGGTTTGGAAAGTAAATTTTTCTATAAATATGTTTTGACTGAGAAATATAAAGATAGAGTTGACCATTTTCTATGAAAAATCTGTTTTTAAATTGTCTTAGTGAGTGACCAGATCAGCTTGACCTTGGAGTTTTAACACAAGCCATCAATTTCATGTTCCAAATATAGAGCTGTCAATCAAAATCTTGAACCATGTAGAAGAGTGAGTTATTTTTAGTTTGATTGAAGTCAGATATCTTCATCTTGAATTGTTTCCAGAAACAGAATTGAAGTTTTATAACAATGCTCAACGTTTAATTTGTAAGCATTTAGAAAATAATTATTGATAATTATATACAGGTCATAGTGACCTACTTGTAACAGACATTGAAAAAATATTCTTGTTTAGCACAATGAAATTAAGCAATAATCATAGATTAATTTTAGATATGCAACAAACAAAAGTGGCAGCCATTTGGAAATGAGTAACAATGTTCTGCAGTTTATTAACTCATTTCAGAACTCAGCAAGACAAAATTCACTTTTTTCTTTTTGGGGATCCATCATTAACCCAATTAGAAATGGATAATCTATTTTCACTGGTTGCGAATTATCTCATTGAAAACACAACCAGAATCCAAGGAGGATTGGCTCCCAGAATGCAACACCGATATTCTGCAAAACAATCACCTAGCGATAGCTTTGTTGGAGAGTATCGGGTCATTCTCCATGCAGTCGTACAAATTATACAGACACGAATAGCAAATGACGCATGCGTGGAGATTAAAGAATATCGAGTTGGAACCCTGGCTTCCAATCCTCCTTGACCAGAATCTAAATATTTTCCTGCCTATGACCTGTTTCCATTTTCAACATATTACCCCCCCCCCAGGATATCAGCAGCCCTCCTATCTTTTGTTTCATTGCAAGGCATTCTACCATTTACAGGTGACATCCAGGTTAAGATTAATATTGTACTTTATTGTTTATTTATATAAGGGGACATCTAATGCTTACAGCGCTTTGCCCCTTGTAATTGTATCTAAATGACTTGTGCTTACAATAAATATGAAAGATGATAAAAAAATGTTCTGCAGTTCTTTGCCCGTTTGGAAAAAGGTCCGTCCAGAAAACCAAGGGAATGACTTCCTGAATAGAAACCATGTAGCCTATGTTTCATTCAAACTTTCCACAAGTGATCAAGACGAGTCTCTTGATTGATTAGAATGATTATTACCGAAAATGTTCTGTGATGGAATGTTTGAGCAACTACCTTTAAGACAAATGCTTATAAAATGTGGACCAAATTCTGTAATTTACATACCAGTTAACAAAAATTACATTTTTTCAGATAAAATGGTGGTTATTTTGAAATTTAGTGGCTATCTTGAAATTTTTTCTTGATCTCAGCTCCTGTGTCACTAAGGCACAAGCATATAAAATTTGAAATAAATTCTTTGACTGGTATTGAAGTTATCAAAGATTACATTGTTTACAAAAAAAGATGGCCATTTTGAATTGAGCAGCCATACTAATTAAAAATTCCTTTTTGAGCAGATGTCTCTTGCCCAAATGTCATCTACCTATAAAATTTGAACCAAATCTGTCAGCCGGTATTTCAGTTATCACCTGGATAGACAAATAGACAGACAGAGGGATGGCTTTTTATTCTATATACCTACTGAACTTTGTTTGGTTGAATAATATAACCAGAACAACGGCAACGCCAAAGCGTAGCAAATCCCATCGAACAGAAATGGCTGGCATTTTTACAAACAAAATATATAGCAAATATCATAAAACAACACACCTGAAAGGCCACCATTTTCAAAATGGTTGCTCACTAGCCAAGTTGTCATCAGAAGAAATAATATGCTTTTAAGTAGCCACCTATAAAATTCGCACACATGTACTTGTAAAATAATTCACATAAAAATGGTGGCCATTTTTCAAAATGGCCGACTACTCCCCAAAGTTTTATTAGACAATGTGCCATGCTTAAAGTATTAACATATCAAATATGAACAAAGTCGCTTCACTTCATTTCGAGTTATAGTCAAAAATGACAGCCATTTTTTAAAATGGCCGCCTACTATCCGAAGTGTCATGAGACAGTGTGCAATGCTCAGGAGTATTCACATATCAAATATGAACAAAATCGCTTCACTACTTTTCAAGTTATAGTAAAACCGTAAAAATGATGGCCATTTTTCAAAATGGCTGCCTACTACCCAAAGTGTCATTAGACAGTGTGCCATACTTATAGTCTTCATATAAAATATGAAACATACCAAATATGAACAAAATCGCTGAACTACTTTTCAAGTTATAGTAAAATACGTTAAAATGGTGCCATTTTTCAAAATGGCCACCTTCTACCAAAAGTGTCATTAGACAGTGTACCATGCTTTTAGTATTCACATACCAAATATAAACAAAATCGCTCCACTACTTTTCGAGTTATAGTAAAATACGTTAAAATGGTGGCCATTTTTCAAAATGGCCACCTTCTACCAAAAACAGTGTGCCATGCTTATAGTATTCACATACCAAATATGAACAAAATCGCTTCACTACTTTTCGAGTTATAGTAAAATACGTTAAAATGGCGGCCATTTTTCAAAAAAAAATTCAAAATGGCCGCCTTCTTCCAAAAGTGTCATACGACAGTGTGCCATGCTTATAGTATTCACATACAAAATATGATCAAAATCGCTCCACTACTTTTCGAGTTCTAGTAAAATACGTTAAAATAACGAGTAAAGGCCGCCATTTTTCATAGGTGTACAAAATATGAACAAAATCGGGCCAACGGTATTTGAGTTATTGCCCGGACAGACGGACGGACAGACAGACGGACGGATGGACGGACGGAGGCGTTCCCTATATCCCTCCGAACTTCGTTTGATGGGATAATAAGATATTAATGCAGAATGCTTACTCACTTCGAGAGCCATGTTAGATTTTGAAACTTATGGCTCTCAAACGGGGAAATAGACAGCTGAATAAAAGTGACCTTTTAGACACGAATTAAGTCGATCAGCTGCCTACTTCTGTTCTCTAACTATGTAATACATCATTATCATCCTTCCGTGCAAGTATTGGAGCGCTGAAGTACTTCCTTTTCGATCAAGACTTGTAATTGTTAGTCGAATGAATGTTTTTACTGCCAAATTCCAATATGGCGTTTTCTGCTCGGACATTTCCGTGAATCTCCAGAGGTTGTCCGAACCTAATTATTCTCAAAATTCATTTCGTCCGTTGCGCATCTCGATCCTAGCAGACCGCCATATTGGAAATGGGTCGAAAAAAACATTCACTTGATGAACAATTTACAAGTCTTGATCGAAAAAGAAGTATTTCAGCGCTCCAATACTTGCACGGATTGATGATACTGATGTAAGACACAGTTAGAGACCAAAAGTAAGCCGCTGAAATCTTTATTAATATTTTAAAGGTCACTATTACTAAGCTGTCCAAGTGCGGCGTGGGAAAGCTATCGTATCAAAATCTACATAACTTTCGCAGGAAGTAACAGAATGCTCCATTCATATAATAGGAACAGAACCTAGTTTTTAACTTAACATAAATATTGCTAAACAAACAAAAATACCTATTTTTCATTTGAGAACTATAAACTGTGATATGATATCAAAATATATGTTGGCCTTGAGGAACATTCTTGATAAATGTTTCATCTAATAGCTTTTAAGTAAATCTAATGACATTCTGATGATAAAAGCCATGTCATATACATCAGATATATACAATTAAAGCAACTTATTGACTTAAACACCCCTGTATGCATGATGAACACCTCTGCAATATGAAGACTTTTTCATTTTTCAAACCAATTCATAATCTAAAAGAATTCCCCTCCCCTCATATTTAGTTTTTACTGTTTACCTTAGAAGGGTTTTACCATACACATGCATGATAGATTAAATAAATGTAAATATCTGTTTTCTATTTCTAGTAAGGGAGTAAAAAGCAATTCTAAGAGCAAGCCAGTATCATCACCTATATGTATGGTCAAAGTACTTCTGTTAGTTGAAATGGTAAGTCTGTTAAAAAACTTAAATGTCGAATACATTTATAAAATATATATCAATGAACAAATATTTCACTCTATTGAAGTGAACACCTGTACATCTTTCACAAGTGATATTCCACGAAGCCAGAAGGGCAAGTGGAATATCACCTTGTGAAAGTGCTACAGGTATTCAACGAAAATAGAGTGAAATATTTGTTTTATTATATCACTGTCTAGCTAAACATCCCTAATATTATTAAGTCATTAAGTCTTCAGATATTTTTACGAATCTACTCGGTTCGTCTGCCATTTTGACTTACACTGAACTAAATTATTTACACTGAACGAAAACAAATTCTTTGAAAATTCCCGGGAGCGTGGGATATCGCTAGATATCTCACGGTTGTCTTATCTGATTAGCATTGCCATTGAATATCGCCAGATATCCCACGACATGTGACCCGGTTTTGACCAATCATACTGTCGCTAGCTAGATAGTGATAAAATAATTTCACATATAGTGCATGTTTGATCATTTATAAAGAGATGCATGATATTTTGAGAAAAACGCTGACAAAATGCAAATGGTTTTTCTTGAACTATATATCAAAGATTTCCAAGTTATTTTGTATAGATTCCCATGTCTTATTGGTAAAAGAATGCTAGATTCAACATACTCCCCCATATCAACCACAAAGCAGGAACTAGACCAATAAGCTAACATAAATACTAGACTCTGTAGGAAATGAAAACAAATGAATTTGTTGAAAGAATGTATGAGATGACATGAACTGGGATGATATTATCTAAATCACTACAATATTCCAGTATTTTGACAAGATTTTCTTTAATCTGTTCTGATTAAAAAATCTTAAAAATCTTTTAAATATCAGATTTTTGTGATTTTTCAAATTTCCTACCTAAGTTCAAGGTAATTCTGACAAAGGCATAGTTGTAACTGACTTGGTGAAGCAACTAGTTGATTTAAAGCGTGGATTGATATTACTTTGTTACAAGATTTCAGCAAGACAAACTCAATAGTAGATCAATAGTAGAGTTTACTAAAGGTCACTAATGAGTCATTTTCTTCATCTTATTTCATAGACTATACAAATTACAAATAAAATACAATATACTAGAAGTGAATTTATAGTGACATATGTGGAGAGAAAATATCCCGAAAAATGTGTCCATTGTCCAGTGAAACCTGCATATTCAAACACCTCTCTTATCAGAATACCTCTTAATTTGAACGTCTTTTTTTAAATTAGACAGGTTTTACTGTATATCAATGATGTAGCCACAAACATATATATAAAACAAAAATGGCTCACTAAAAGCCAAACTTCATCCAATGGGATAATTAATTAAATTTGGAGAAGGAGGTAATAGGATAATTTTATAAGAAAGTCAATAAAACTCAATTAAAGTTAGTCCAGGAGTCAATCTGAAAACTAAATCCGTATTCATCAGGAATCCAAGATGTCATTTCATTTGAATTATGTTTTGGGACAGCACCGATCTATAGACATTGTATATGTACCAAATTGTACAACTCCGAGTAAGACTTACCTGCCGCAGCCTGGCTCCCAATGTAAGGAGAGAGGAGTTTGCTCTTCTTCTTCTCATATCCCTTCTGTGTTATATCACCTGAAAACATACGACAAAATGCAATCAATAAATGGTTACAGAGTTCCACATTGGCTTGTCATTTTGGTAGAATATTCATTTTCAATGTACAAAAATGACATCTTAAATAAATAAACATAAAGACATCAAGAGCGTCTGAAAAAGCAGATTCAAACCATTTTCCTGTTCTTCGAAAAAATTATTTCGTCTGAATAGCAATTTGCCAAATAAAATACAAACAACCAGTACAACTATGAAAACCTCAATAAAATCTATTTTATAGTTCCACACTGAAAAATCTTTGCCTTTTTGTTCAGAATAGCAAAAGATTTTTTATAAAACATTATCGAGAGAATGTTGGCCACACAGAGATTTTGGGTACAACTACTGTAATGTATAGTTACCCCTATGCCGATCTATTTGCTCTGTTTTTTATTGCCAGGCTAACAAATATCAATAATAGAGAAATAAATTGGATGATATAAAATATGACAAAATGGAATGGGGATGGCTAATTGAGACTTGACAGTAATAGGGTAAAATATCCTATTTCCATCATATATTATGGAGTCCAATTACGTACAGAGAATCTACATATACACAGAAGTGAATTATAATGTCCAGGGAATCTAGTACTAACTATTGTTTTGACTCAGCTGCATGTACTGTACTGCACACTTGTTCCTGACTTTCAAATTACATTAAAACTTGTATATGCGAACATATTTCATCAGAATACTGTGCCATCAAAATTACAGTGAAACTTGTTTATTACATGGATTTATTTTAGAATACCCCACTACAGTTAAACATGTGGACAACTCTCTAAATAGAACACTGCTATTAAAATTACAGTAAAACTTGTAGACAGAATATATATTGGATATTAACAGAACATTGTTTTTAGAACCTTTAGATGTAAAAGTATACCCAGAACTCTAAATTAATAAATGATGTCCTGGGAATGATTCTTGTGCCGCTTTGTTCAGACTCAAGGCATATACAATACTATATACATGTAATGCCGACCATATTATTCATGCTTTCATGGCTAACAGCTTTATTTTCAACAGTAAAACCTGTACATTAAAACACATCATAAGAATACTTCTAAAACAAATCTGAACTTCTCTTGATGTGAACAATTTGAACAATCAGCATCTTTCTCAACAGTGTTCAATTTTGACAATTTTACTGTTTATAAATAATATACATAGGGACTCGAATAAAAACTTCCTGATTCTAATTAACATCATATGAGGAAGAAAAATATATATTTTGATTCAATAGCCGTTATCTGCTCTAAAAAACACAGTATCAATGTCCTTGAATTTTATACATAGATTCCTATGCTTAAATTAAATCCATTTTTTATATAATTTCAATTTTGTTCATAGGGAGGATAAGAAATGGTACAAATTGACCCACTCTTGCAGAAATTTTATCAATTTTAGAGCTTCTTTGAACTGACACATTTGCGAATAAAAAACATAGGGAATTACATTTATCCCCTTTTAAGACAACATTATTCTGACTGGTTTAGAAGATCAGGATCGTATGACATGAGGCCACTCAAGATTAAAGTTAGGTGCTATACTTCTAAAGATGTAATTTGAAGGTGAACCTTACCAGCCAGTTCCTAGTGTTTACCCTTTTCCATTCTACTAGCCACACATCCCTCTAACTATAAATAACTAGAAAAACAGCAACTCCACGGAGTAGCAAATCCCACCGAACAAAACATGTTTTGATAAAAAAATTGAGCTAAATTCAGCCACTGGTATTTGAATTATCAAAGATTATGTCTTTAAGAAACATGGTTGCCATTTTGAAATTCAGCTGTCATCTTTAGATTTCTACTTTAGCAGAGAATGTCCGTCCAATGGTATCTGGGTTATCAAAGATTACTTTTTTAATGAAAAATGGCAGCCATTTTGAAATTCAGCTATCGCCTTTGAAATTTCTTCTGAAGCAGATCTCCCTTTTCCCTAAACATCAGCATATAAAATTGGAACCAAATCCAACCACTAGTATTTGAGTTATAATTAATTACGTTTTTTTACGAAAAATGGCGGCCATTTTGAAATTCAGTGGCCATTTTGAAAATTTATTTTTGAGCAGAACTTCTTTGTCTCTAGGCATCAGCATATAGAATTTGAACCAAATCCGTCAACTGGTATTTGAGTTATCAAAGGTTACGTTCTTTTATGAAAAATGGTGGCCATTTTGAAATTTAGCTACCACCTTGAAAATCCCTTCTCGAGCAGAGCTCCTATGTCCCTAGGCATCATCATGTAAAATTTGAACCAAATCCATTCAATGGTAATTGAGTTATAAAAGATAATATTTTTTTATGAAAAATGGCCGCCATTTTGAAATTTAGCTGCCATCTTGAAAATCCTTTCTCGAGCAGAGCTCCTATGTCCCTAGGCATCAGCATCTAAGATTTGAACCAAATCCATTCAATGGTCTTTGAGTTATCAAAGATAACGTTTTTTTACGAAAAATGGCCACCATTTTGAAATTTGGTGGCCATCTTGAAAATGTCTTCTTGAGCAAGGCTCCTTTGTACCAAGGCAACAGCATATAAAATTTGAACCAAATCCATCCACTAGTATTCGAGTTATTAAAGATTATATTTTTTCTGAAAAATGGCCGCCATTTTAAATTAAGCGGCCATATTGAAAATTCCTTCTCGAGCAGAGGTCCTACACCCATAAGGCATAAGCCTATAAAATTTGAATGAAATCCGTGAACCGGTATTTGAGTTATCGCCCGGACACACGAACAGACGGACGGACGAACGGACGGACGAACGGACGGACGGACGGACGAACGGACGGCTTTTCGATATCCCCCTCGAACTTCGTTCGGTGGGATAATAATCAGTTCTGATGCTGACAACATCTTAACAATCTCAAATGTATCTTCCATGGTATTTTATTAGAGTGGGAATGTAAATTGAATGTTAGCTGCTTATATGTAGAACATTTAGTACAAATTCTGTTTATATTATGTAGTCTAGCTCATTTGAAAAGAGTATATTCCTTGTAATAACTACTAAAATGATTATGTTATACATACTGGTACAATAATAGCTCTCGATATAATAATAATTATGAAATAACATAAAATCAATAATTGTATATTATATTTTCCACAATACAAATATCCTCAGTATGAGTAGTTAAATCTCAATGTATGAAATACTACATACAGTACATAATCAGTGAAATTGAAAGCAATGGTAAGGTTTGTGTCCAAGGGATTCTTACACAGTTAACAAGGCCTAAGAAATTACTTCGGAACATATATTAGGGTTGAGGTTACATAGGTTAAATTCTTGGTAATAGATTAAGATAGTTATTTGGTGAAATTCTGACCAACAGTCCATGGTTTGATGGTAGCTTCAACTGATATTTATGAGAAAACCTTTCATGTATTACACCATTACCCTGGATCCTTATAGAGTAACCATACTGGCCTCTGAATATTAAATACAGTTTTAATCCAATTTAGATCTTAATAATCTCAAGAGTAGCTTTACTGGTCTTTTTGAATGTAAAATGAATGCTAGTTCTACTTATAGGTAGACTCTTCATTCTGATTTAATCTAGTAAAGGTCAAAGAACTATATTTTATGAAAGAGTATAAATAAAGCAGAACTCTTGAAATGCATGCTCCAGTCATTTTGATCCATTAAGGCACATAATTACATAAATGACTGAAGGAATACACTGGTTTAACAACTACATACTATAATTGTACTTTAAAGTATTAATTTTAAAGATAACCATAAAAGCAACCTTGTGATATTTATATTAAATTGGTCCATGTCGGGCAACAGAGTATCGAGTTTGAATACAAGCTTCCAATCCTCCTTGATTCTGACATTACAGTTCTCACAGACTCTGCCTTAGTACCATATGAACTCCTCTCACTCTATTTTACCCCCTCCCCCTAAGGGCTTACATCAGAGTGTGTGGATCTCACTCTGATTTTCATCTCTCTTTCACCTAAGAATGATCTATTAGATAAGCAAACTAACTAAACTTTGCACCGAAGTATAGATTTGGATTATAATATCATGTATGCAGAATTTTGTATGATTTTGATCAAAATGCTACATGTAATAATATTCTGAGTCAACAAAAATGGTGATAGAGCATTCTGAACACGTATTTGAAAATGAAGGAGGAAGTACATGTGCGCTTGATGCAATATCTTGCATATCCCCTTATTATATCAAGATCCAAATATGGTCCAATTAAAAATTACACAATCACCCTAACAGCCTTTGAGTTGAAGGTTTATCTTCACTTCAATGTTCTCATAACCTCTATATGACCTAATGGCTATTTAATAACACCCTTTGATCATTTAATATATTAAACAGATTAGTACTCTGCAGTTAATCTTGAACTATGGTTGGCAGATAAGGTTTGGTGGGTTATTTCAGGTAACATAAAATATTAGACAGACTCCATGTTTCAAATCAAATATTTCCTATGAATACACGATACACCAATAAAAGCTAAATTCAATTCAATCAAGTAGTCTTAGAAACAATAATTTTAAATGAGTCAGTTTCTATTATAAGGTCAGAGTTAATGCATTGACAGCCCTTTTTTACTTTGGCATAAAAGCTGCTATAAATACTTACTTAAAATACCCCAGCGACTAATAAGAAAGTTTTTCACATCATTTCTATAGCTGTGCCCAGTTTCACTAAATACCAAATCGGCAAAAATATCTTGTATTAGGCTTCCCTGGATTTCATCCTCTCTTGAAGGGATTAAATCCCAATTATCAATATCCATTTCTAAATTCTGATATCCTTAATCGAACTAAACTCAACTTTCTTGTGCTCTTTTGTATAAACAAGGTACCGAATTGCTTCAAGAAACAGGATTGAAAAGATCAATTCATTTTCATTTTATAGCTCTTTTATTTATTTAATTTGTCAAACTGAAATTAACATGTCAAAAATTGATTTAACCAAGATTTTTGAAGAGCGATCT